GAGGGGAGGGAAGGATTGATGCATACTGATAACATTGGTTGAAGGTCGCGCTATATTTCTAGTCGGTAAAAGTTTGAACTGATGGGCGATTGGATTCTCTCTCAATGACTGGATGGTATACGAGTGTGCCGTGTAACCTGAAGGTCCTAGTTTCTATCCCTAGGGGTAGGGGTTGTAGGTGAGTTCTGCTTAGGAGTCCCAAACAAGGACGAACACAGCTGTCCAGTACTCTCTGGCGGTTTTACATAACTCTCTGACTTGGAACAAATTTGATTTAAAAGACTGACTAATGAACAAAGAATTTTATTTTCGATAAATTCGTCATCGGCTTCTACATTTATATGACAGTAGTACTTAAAGAAAAATTTTTATAACAACACTAATGCTGTTTTAAATTACTGTGAATGAGTAGTATCGACAGATTACATGTCAAAAGTATCAGTAAAAGAGAGTTAATGTGTGCATTAACATAATAAAACTAAACTGGATACTCGACCAAAGGGCGTGTGTACTGCTTATCAGTCCGCTCCATCCTCCTTTATGGCTGTGAGACCTGGCCATTGAGAGCGGAGACATGAAACTGCTGGCTAGCTGTCTTTGATCATAGGTGTCTGCTATGTATCTCCCATGTGAAGTGGTATAATAAGGTGAGCGATATTGAGTTTAGGCGTCGAGTGCTAGGTAAGGATGGGGGAAATTAGTCGACGAGGCTGTGAAATTACATCGACTGAGATGGTTAGGACATGTGTTACGTATGCCTAGTCATCGCCTTCCTCGACAATGGGCAATGTTAGCTGATATAGGGTCAGGCTGGAAAAGAGCTAGTGGCGGTCAAACCAAAACATGGCTTCATCAGTCAATGAAATCTACAACAGTTAGTCTAAGTCACGTAGGAAGGTGTAGACTTCCTGGTTGGGGTCCTCGGGACGGTAAAAACCAATGGTTGGAAACAATTGGTGACATGGCTCAAAATCGTTCTCAATGGCGCAGATGCATCCACTCCTTGTGACTTATAATTTTCAATGAAACTATATTGTTCTTCGTTATTACTATACTTTTGTCTCACACCTCTGTTTACTGTCTGTAATATGCATTTCTCCTACTTTCTTCTCTTTCTTTGTGTGCTACATGGAGTGTGGCGACTTGAACTGCCGCATATATGTGCAAAATTCTATGTCGAAAACAGACAGACAGACAGACAAACTGGATACAAGATAAGTTAAGGGAAGTAACACACACAGAATTTATGAATGTATTGGTTAGACAGCAGGCCAGGGGGTAGCAATAGTGGCTGGCTGGAGGACCTACTTCTTTTGCACACAGAGCTCCGGTTACTTTAGATGAATCGCAATAGACTCTGCTGTTCAGAGTGTTTGGAATCTAGACTACTTTGGTAATTTATTTGCTACCCGATAGATGATAGAGAAAGATTCTCCAATGTTAGCTTTGTGGCCTCTTTGCATCAGGTGGCGTTCAATGTAGAACTGTTGATGGTTTTGAAAACACCTTTATTTAATAACACTGGTAGGTGCCGGTGTTCCCCAGCACGAAAAATTAGGTTACTAGGTCGACCACCAACAACATAACTGACTTCACAGGAGCTGTTGAATTGATAGATACAATTAGAGAGATGGCTAGCGTAGGTACTTCGCCTTTCAGTTTCGGAATCACAACCAATTGTGCAGAGAATATAAGTTGCAGCTTCCAGGCATTAAACGTTCTTTGAATCGACTTTCTCAACTTGTCGGCTGTTACTTTACTTGATATATGTTATACCTTCTTTGAATTGGAATTGTCGAAATTCCTGTGTACATTGTGAAGACTTCACGAATGGAAAGTGTTGGTTTGTATGAAGTTGAAATGATGCGAGAACTGATGTCAACTCGTGATCAATCCTGTAACCAATCGAATCCCTGCAAACCAACACTTTACAATTTATCTGGTGTTCACTAGCGACTGGCCTTATACAGGAAGTACTTGGGGTTCTAGTTAGAAGTCGTACTCGCTTTGTGACACTGGCTGGCGGTTGAGTTGTTAATCATGGACCATTGGGTCGGTATCCCATTGGCTGGGATGGTCTACGAGCTCACCTCGTAACCGCAAGGTCCTGGGTTCGAACCCCGTGGGTTCCCACAGATGAAGAGTCCCAAGCACTAGGACGAAACAGCCGTGCGGTACTCCCAGCTGGTTTTCCAATGGTTCTCTAACAGATGTCAGCTTGTGATGAATCCTGTAGCCAGTGGAATCCCTGCAAACCACTGCTTGACGAAGAATAATTTAGCATAAGAGAAAAATTCGTCTTGACTGGATCAGCGAACCAAGTCAGAAGTATCTCTCTACCATTATCGCTTGTAACGACCGTACACAATACTTGTATTTCAAATTGTAAGCTATGAACATACACAAAAATAAACCATTCTGTTCTGCATAAAATAAAGATGAAAAACTGACAAGTATGAACAGGAAATGGTTGAAATATTTATTTATATTTTGAATAAATGTTTACTTCATCATTTTGTCCTTTTTTCAACGCAAAAAAGTTGTTTAAATGATATCAGCTTCCGTTTCCGATTTTGGCGGGAGTTTTTTTTCAAATAGTACATACACTGTTTGATATCATTTGAATAATGGCGGTTATTTTTATTAAACTGTCATAATACTTCTTAAATTTTGAGAATTTTTTGCTATCAGTAGTGTTTCATATTTTTTATAACCTATTTAAAGTTTGAAACTGACACTTGAATGATGATCTCATTATTATTGTCTTTAACAATTCAACATACATGGATGGATTCTTTTTTATCACCTATCTCAAAAGGATAAACAAGTGGAGTATAAAAGCGAATAGCAAGTTATTTTTAAAAGAAGCTGGTTGGAATGTTTAATAGTGAATGCATCTGTGACATAAAGGGACTTCTGTCCCGCTGAAATTCTCTCCTAATTAATTAGGTTCAAATTAGTTTACAGTGTGCGATCCCCCACAACAGAGCATGTCAATCAACAAAGGATAGAAAACAGGAATAATGGTGATCATTAGAATAACAGAAAAGCATCAGTGTGAATATATTTCCATTCCTCTGATTAATTCCTAAGTCGATATCAGTAGTGGTCTGTAGCGGTAACGTCTTCATATGGACACAATCCAGAAGCAACTTCGAGTAGGCCGTGTGTGATTGACCCCCAAGCTTCTGTCCCCTGAACTCTGCGTTTACTCAATATTAATACTCATTTTGTTTCTGCGGTGTAGGCGGCCAAGAGTTAATAACCATTCACGCACATACACACACACACACACTTCCATCAGTATATGAAATATTCCAGGTAATGTATTTAAATTCAGTATAAATGTGACCGAAGGCTTTTAAATATATTTGTGCGTTACAGTTTCTGTAGCAATTTGGCTAAGTTTTGGGGGTGGAGTTGCTAGCACCACTCCCCAACCCTCCCTCTTTATCAGGGCTTGGGACCGGCTAGAATACCAGTGACCTAGTAATCTAGGCGAGGTTACTGAATTTAAATACATTACTTGGGGGGTCACCAAGAATATTTCCAACAGGTTGCAGACCTTTATCAACAACTGTCTTCGCTCTATACTGAAGATCAGATGGCCGGAAAGAATCACAAACAAGAAACTATGGGAACAAACAAAGCAAGAACCAATCGCCCAACAGGTATGCAGGAGAAAGTGGAGGTGGATTGGACGCTTGCTGAGGAGGCCGCTGGGTGACATCGCGCGTCAGGCCCTCGCTCGAGTGGAACGCGAAAGGGAAGCGGCGAGTGGGACGTCCAAGGGTGACATGGATGAGATCATGTGAAGCGGAGTTGAAACAGTATGGATTAACATGGACGCGGGTGAAAAGTACAGCAGAAGACAGAAGCAAGTGGAGACGTGCAGTTGAAGCCCTATGTTCCACTAGGAACCCAAGGGAACAATAATAATAGTAATGATAAATGTGACCGTGTCATCGAAAGGTGCGGCTACCTTTCAAAATGTCTTGCATATTGTACAGCAGTTGTCTGTATCCTACTTTGGAGCTGTGTAACATAATTGTTGAAGTTAGAAAATTGAATATTATTAGCGTGGATGATTTTGTTGAATTGCCGACTGTAAGCACAGCAATGTGATAATAATGAGATTAAGCATAAAGTCTTGAAGTGAGGTTGTGAAGCTGCATCGTTTAAGGCGACTAGAACATGTCTTACTCATACCAAGCCACTACCCCCCCCCCACCTCAGTGAGAAGTAGATTGGTAAAAAGTTAGAGGTAGGTGGTGGTCAGATCACAATATTGATACCAATCTATAAAGTCATTAACTTTTGCTCAAAGTCAACCAGGGAGGTGTAGATTGTCTAGCTGGGGGGGGGTCCTCATCATGCTAAGAATCAATGGTTGGTGACTTCTGGTGATGTGACTCAAAACTGTTCTCAGTGGTACCCATTGACATCTGATTTCTTTGTCTAACTGTTCACTTCATCGCACACATGTTCATTTATTTATTTCAGTCTCCACGTCTTTATTCCCTTCTCTTCTCATGATTTTTTGGAGTGTGGTTGTAACGGGAGGAGATCAGAGATTTGGTGACAGACCTTTTTTTTATTAAGCTAAAACACACCGCATTTATACATTTTCAGCCCATATTAAAGGTTGTCTAGGTCAGCGGATGATAATACACTATTCTGATTGGTTGTCGACTTTCTGAAGGTTAAACCTTGAGACGAAAAGTTGTCCAATGAGATTATTTCCTGATCACAAGGTACGCTAAATTCAGATTTGAGGAATACATACTACTTCTACCTTTGCAGCTAGCCATTGACTTAAAATGTTGATTTCAATTGTTGGCTGAATCTGCGTCTATATACTACTTATAAATCTTGTCAGTAGCACATACCACATGGTAACGTATTGAGGTATTTCGTTTTTGCCTTTAAAAACAGTCAACCAGTGAGTAGTAACACTTAAATTTTTGTTTTGTTTTGTTTCTTTTATAAACTGAATCTAGTTCGATCTCGTGCTTCTCAGAGTGCTGCTATTACCACCACTACTACTACTACTACTACCAGTAGTTCTACAAATCAACCTGAATTACGTCCACATTCAAATAAGCAAATACCATCGACACGGTTGAATTCAAGTGTTATACCACAGAAGTTACATAGTCACCATGGTCATCATCATCATCAGCATCAACAGCAGCAGCAACATAATCATCCACAACATTCACGTCATATCGCTAGTAAAAAGCCTGAGGTGAGTGTTAATTTCGATTTTTCGAAGTATTTCACTCATCAGTTTCATGAGTGTGAGTACTAATCTTTAGTAGTTATCTGTGTAACACATATTATTTGAATGCTTGTTTTAATGTGTTATTCGCATATATTTGTCAATAAATATTCCGTCTTCTTAATTTCCCAATCTCTTTTTTAACAGCCTCTATCTTTTTCATAGACTTGCATTGAAAATCTTTGATTCTTTGTTGTTATTCCCAGTGAGACGTATGGCTTCAGGCTTTGAAGTTCTGATAGTGATGGTGTTGTGCTTTTCATAGGGTGACTTTCCTATTCTCACACTCAACCGCCTTTCTCTTTATCGGGCTTACTTACTATCGGTTAGTAAAGTAGGCGTGGTTTAGGAGTATGTCGACTGGGAGTCGAAGCTGGACGTTCCGTGTCGCTGGTGTGCTTTCTACCACTTTCTGTCTGCCTGTTTTCGACATAGAACTTTCCACTGATGTGCGGCAGTTCAAGTCGCCACACTCCCTCATTGTAGCACAAAGCAAGAGACGAAAGTAGAAGAAATGCATAATAGTGGCAGTAAACAGGGTTATAAGACAAAAGAATAGTAATAACGAAGAACAATATAGTTTCATTAGAAATCATTAGTCACAAGGAGTGGATGCTTCTGCGCCACTGAGAATGTGATTTTGAGCCATGTCACCAATTGTTTCCAACCATTGGATTTTACCGTCCCGAGGACCCCAACCAGTCAGGAAGTCTACACCTTCCTACGTGACTTAAACTAACTGTTGTAGATTTTATTGACTGGTGTGGCATGTTTTAGTTTGACCGCTGCTAGCTCTTTTCCAGTCTGACCCTATATCAGCTAACATCGCCCATTGTCGAGGAAGGCGATGACTAGGCATACATAACACATGTCTTAACCGCTATTTGGGACATAACATTGACGTAAATTGCTGTCGACAATTTTGCCTTGAAGCCAGCTCTCACCACACTGTATGGTTTTGACGTCGTGATACTTCGGTTATAGCTACACTTGTAGAGTGATTCTATGACTCAGTGAACCCAACATATGATTTTCAACTGTTGGAGTCATTGACTTGTCTTCTTCTCTGCTTACAAAGATTTTAAGCGTGGGCCAAGAAGCATATTACTAGCTCTCACTCAAAAGGTATTTGTGTGTCTCATCGCTAAGTACATCAACATACATTCGATTCCTTCCTTTATTCACTTGTAGTTTTGGCTATTTTATCACTTCTGTTTCTATCAGGCATTCTGCTGTTTTAATTGCCTTGAACAATTTTGATTGTTGTTTAAATTATTTTTTCTAAATTTCGTTTTTTGTCCTTCTGTATCGATTCAAAATCATTCACCTTGTAGCTAGCGTATCCATATAGGTGGTTGAAACCTTTCTCAATCTACTTTTATATTATACACAATCAATCTCTTGGGATATTTCTTTGTGAAAATTATTCTAACATTAACTGGAAGAAATGATCATCAGGTTTTGATGTGTAACTTTGCTGATGACTTTTCTCCTTATGTTTCATTTAATATTTCCTATATATGTATAGGTATTCATCCGCGTAGCGCCTGTGGTTCAGGGTTTAATCTCCGGCTGACGCACTACCGAGCCTGTATTAACAAGAAGTAACTTCTTGAATTAGTTGTGTTCTCTGTAAAGAAGAGGGTAGGCTGGGCGTGAGGCTAGCACCCCCACCCCGTAAAAATAACGCAATGTGCTACAGAAAGTTCAAAGCTCCAGATAAAAGCCCTATGTTCCACCAGAAACCCAAACTCATACGCGTGATTTCTGGTTGATATACATCTGAACCAGTCTTCAGTTTAGCTCATATATATAGGCTCCTTTAACAGATACCGACATATTTGATGATATTGGCTAGTGGGGGAATCCACGAAATGGCATTCTGTCCTGTTTGCGACTTGTCAGCTGCATGTCCACCTACATACATCCTTAGTGAGTGATGCTGTGTGTCCACTGTGACTCTAAGCCCACCACCTATCGAGTTATCCTTTCAATGGGGTATATCAACAAGAAATTACAAATGTGAATATATTCTGATGTAAAGTGATTTCTAATATTGATGATAATAGTCAATGCAGTTATGATATACAACGGGCATTGATCATGTGATCATTATTCTACATTAATATTCCCTTGGGTTTTGAGTGGAACATGGGGGCTTCATCTCCATTTCAGCTTGTTCTCTGTAGTTCTCTTCACAGTTGTCCATAACCTCTTATCCCCTTACACGATCTCCTTTATATCCCTTCGGACCTACTCCCAACTCGTTGTTTCCCAATGGGGGGTCCCAATCGAACGATGTTCTGATGTGCGATGTCAGCCGCGACGGTCTTCTCAGCGTTTTTGTTGAGCCATAGGTTCTTGATTTGTTGTTTCCCAGAGTGTTTTTGTTGTTTATTCTTTCTGGCTGGCCATCTGATGTTAAGTATGGCGCCAGAGAAGGTGACAGCTATTGTGATAAAAGTCTTCAGGGGCTTGTTAGAAATGCACTTGGTGATGCGCCAAGTTTCTGATAGATTTTATCCCCAGATCGTGTGTGTATGTGTGGGTATTTATTGTTCTAGATTTTGATTATTTCCAATGCATGTTAACTCTTTTCTGTTTTATTACAATCATGAAGATATCACGTCTTGAGGTAAGTTTTTCCTATGTAGCTTATATGTATGTATACATGTTTGTGCGATTAGCTGTGTGTGTGCATAAATGTATGCGCGCGCGTGTGTGTGTGAGTATTTGTGTATATGCTAAGGTTTATGTCATCACTATGGTAAGCAGTCTCCGGTCAAGTTGTGGTTTTTATCCAACTCGATATGCTGCCCCCCCCCTCCTCAGTCATTATCTCCTCTTGATGTGAAGACGTAATCGTTTTTCTGTCATCATTCCGGCAATAATATGCTCTTGTATGCGCGTGTGTATTTCTTATGGGTTATGCTCTACGATCAATGATTGATAATGATTACCCTTCACCATCTAGTCTGATTGTTTTACATATTATAAAAGGTATGAAATGATTCATAATTTATATGTAGACTGACTTTTGTGGAACACCACTACTACTACTACTACTATTCGTGCATATATTATGCATTTTTCGATCAATAAATATAAATAATATTTTTTATTTTGATAAACTGAGAACTAATCTGTTTGTTTCTATTCTGTTTTTTCCTCTTTTTTCTGTCCTCCCCACCCCCTGTGGAAATCTCCCCCCTCCCACTTTACTTTATTCTTGTTGTTATCACTCATAATGCTTGTGTGTGTGTGTGTGCGGGTATGGTTACTCACATTCCTCGCACCCACCTCATCTCCCTCGTATTCATTTGTCTATCATATACTATTTGTTACATTTCTTTTTTATATGTGCGTGGGCGGGGGCATCTTTGATCACCCCCCCTACATTTGTCTGTCTTTGTTTTCCTGAATGTGATCACGTCTTTGTTCTTGTTGTCACCAATGCTGTCGCTGCTCCTTCTTACGCTTGAACTACTTCACCTCTCTCCACCATACTTATATATATTCATGTGAACTTGTGTTGTGCCTAACTGGATCACCTATGCTGTGCTACACCGACTACTAATAAATACTTCGTGTATTGGTACTCCTAATTGTTGTTGTTGTTGCTGTTGTGGTGGTGGCGATGGTGCATTTTTCTCCACGTTATACACCATTTCATCATATCCATATTTCTTTTTCGTGATCACCTATCGATCTGCGTGGAATTGTTTTATCGGTGGGATATGGTTTGGGCCATTGTCTTCTTACTCTGTTGATATCGTATTCATTTACAATCCTTATGATACACTATTGTAAATGTGTTTGTTTGTGTTGGTCTATCGTTGTTGTTATACGCATATCTCTAAAATCATTGGGGTCATTTGGGTTGTGTGTTGTTTTTTTGATGAAACAGCATGATGTATTGAAAGTGATAGGCAAAGAATCGTTATTACCTGTATCCATTGGTAACGAAGTTATCGCTGTAACATCAACAGCAACGACAACAACAACAACTACTACAACCACGATCAGTAGTAGTGTTACTAGTACCAGTTTGTTAGGACTCCACAATCCTAGTGATATTGCTTCCTCGTCTTCTTCTGCTTCTTCTTCCACTTCGTCTTCTTCTGTTTTATCATCTCTGTCGACTCCTTTGTTATCTTCACTCGCCGACCGCCTCCTCCTCTTCCTCAGAAACACTGACAAGTGTCCCATTGACAACAAATGTGTCACCTTTGATGAACAGTAGTACACATCAATTCCATGTGAATTTATTTCAATGGCTTAAACAAGCTCAGTTGAATCCATCGTCTGCATCATTGATTTATTTACGTGAACAGTTACGACAGAATTTATTCCTGCAGCAACAACAACAGCAACAACATCGATTACAACCGACACAGATACCACCACCGCCACCCCCACATGTGAGTACACCGTCATCACAGTCAATCATAAGGACTGTACTACTACCATCGTCTACCTCTAATATGATCCACCATTTTCCAAGGCAGCAGCAACAGCAACAGCAAACAAGCTTGGTAAATATATTAAATCAATTCCCTGAAGCGGTAGTAGATAATGATTGGTTCGGATCTAATGTTGATTTGATCGAAGTTAGAAACAGTAGTACGAGTAGTAGTAGTCATATCAATGACAGTACTGATGACAATGCTTCATCACCACCACCTGTCCTCGACCTCTCCTCCACATCCTCAGCATTATCATCGCCGAAACCACCATTAGGGCCAAGATTGTTAAGACGTCGATTGCCTAAGCCTAGACCAGATGAATTTATTGTTGTTGAAGAAGAAGAAGAGGAAGGGGAGGGAGAGAAGGAGAGAGAAGAAGACAGCGGCGTTGGTGGTGGTGAAGACGGTGAAGCCGATGAACGCCAGTTGAATAAAGACAATGAAGAAAGCCTTGGCTTACACAATGATTATAATTTAACTAAAATACCACAAGCTGTTTATAATTATTCCTCTCCTAAATTGAATCAATCGTCTTCCACTAATGATGACCTGCATCAAATCAATACTCGAGTGATGAGAAAACTGGTGGTGGATAGTGGTGGTGATGCGTCCTCGTTAAGTCGGAATGCTAGCTGTCCGCCTATTCCTCCTGGAACACATGATACTACTGAGAGTAATATGGATGGTGATGATGATGTTGAGGATAGTCAAAGAAAGCCAGAAGAAATGATCAGTTTACAATCGGTAGGATTTCTTTCCCCCACCCCCCACTATTTCAGTGTTTTCGTGTGTTGTATAGACGCTCGCTCGCTCACTCACTCACACACAGTGTATCAGTGTTCTGTACGCTAAATGTAGTGTGTTATGCATATATTATTTTCAAGCATTGGTTTTGTAGGGATTTTTGTTTGATTGCATGGAGGATTTCATCATGAGCTGACATCAGTTAGAGAACCACTGGAAAACCTGGGAGTACTGGACAGCTGGGTCCCAGTGGTTCAATGGTCTACGAGCTCGCCTTGTAACCAGAAGGTCCTGGGTTGGTGGGTACATACTGATGAAGAGTCCCAAACTAGGACGAAACACCTGTCCAGTACTCCCAGCTTTTCCAGTGATTCTCTAACTGATGTCAGCTCATGATGAAATCCTCCATGCATATATTATTCATTTAGACTACTGTATTTTCACCATGGTTTTGCCTTCCTCCATGTGTTCCTAAGATTCCTTTTGGTGATGTGAATCATCTGTTCCTTCATCACTTGTCCTGAGTTCCTTCTTGAGAAGAAAATAAGCAAATTCGTGCTTCGGTTTCGTGCCAGTCTACATTGAACCTAGTGAAATACAGTGTTTGTCGTGAATGTTGTCTTTTTCTTTTTTTAGTAGTAGTATTAGTAGTTGTTTTTTTGGTTTTCAAGTATCATTTTTACTGTCACTATTATTTCTCCCCGCTCCCCTGCCCCTACTTCTCATAATCCCAAAAATTGTGCTTTTTGTATGCTTTCTCATCTCCCATATGATATTTTCATAAGAATATACATATATAGCTTTTCATGTTGTTGTGTAATGCGATGGAGGCATTAGTTTGTGAGGTCAATGGTCTTTTTCTCTATTTTTGTTGTTGTCGTTGTTTGAATGTATTAGTTATTTGATTTTGTAATTGTTTTTTTTTGTTTTGTTTTGTTTTTAATTGTGTTTGTTTGTTCCTCCTCTAGGAACTTGATCAGTTGGCGGCACAATTGACTAATTTAGGCGCTGTTTCACCTAGCCCCAATAGACAAAATAATAATAATGTAATGAATGGTGGAAAGTCAGAGGGTAAAAAGTCAACCAATAGACGTCAACACCGACAGAATTATGAAAATAATGCTCATTTATCAAAATTGCCGAATGATCCAGTTCATCGTCATCATCGTCACCATCATGATTCAAGTGGACGTGATCGATCTAATTCATTGTCATCGTCGACATCATCCTCATCCTCGTCATCTACGAACTCGTCAGTATCATCTGAAAATGGTACCAGTAATAATAATATAAATTCACCAATTCACATGAATAGTAATAACAATAATAATAATAACAAATATTCAACAAGTAATTCATCTACAGTGAGTCGATCTCATTCTATCGGTTCACCGAATGATTTCCACTCGTCAAGTACAACATGTTCTTCTGGTTCAATTTCTTCTACGAATTCATCATGTGATGATAATCGTAATGCAGCAAAATTGAATGCATTGAATGGAAAACGGCAGAAAACAACAGAAGTGGATCCTCGTCGACTCACTGTTGTTGAGAATGTACACGTACTGAATAATAATAATAAACTGGCTGATTCCAACCAGCCAGATGATTTAGACATACTGACTAACGACCAATTGGATGATATGAATTCTAGAGGTTATGCATATGATGACGGAGAAGCTGCTGCTAGAGAAGATGACGAGGATATGGGTGTTTGCGGTGGTGACGCAGAAGACGAACAAGAAGAAGAAGAGGATGAAGATGAAGGTGATGTGATTGTTGTTGAAGAAGAAGAAGAAAATGGTGCTGATTTGGAAGAGGCGGAACAACTGAGAGCTACACTATCTATTGTTCGTACACGGCAAAGACCATCTCTCAGTGAATTTCTACGCAATGGTCATAGTGGCAATGATACGTCTGCTGATAACGACACTAATAATGTGGTCAGTAATGAATCATTCTACTGTATAGATGATGGAACCTTATCTAGTTCAGCAGTGAAATGGCATAAAGAAGGAGCCTTGTAAGTTGTTGTTGTTGCCCTTACTTTTAATGTTATGTTATACTATGTTATGCAACACCCTGATGATTTGTCTTTGTAAACACTTTCAGTTGATTGTAACAAAGTTTGTTTAGATTAATTTATATAACTACATTGATATAAATAGCCATAATAATAATAATAATATTCATTTCTATGCATGCATGACTAATTCCCTGTTCCTTTTTTGTATTTTCTCCCCTCCCCCTCATCTCCTGCGTTCTCCTCTCTGTGCGCTTATCATCTTCACCTTGCTATTTATTCATCATCTAATATTCACACTATATCCCGTGAAACATGCACACACACGAAACTTGATTGTGAATTGCTCTGCTCTAACATTTTCGCTGCATTTTTCCGGATACCGATGCGGTGTAAAAACAACTTAACCAATCTACTATCTTTGCACCTATTTCTCTATATTCTTACACTGTCTATCTATCTATCTATCTATCTATCCTAATAATTGATAACATAGAAATAAGGCTGTGCACTCAATAGTAGGAAATCTTACGTGTAATTCATCGGCATCACCCCTATATCCTCCTCCTTCGCCTCCTCCAGTTCTATTCCCTCCACCGCTTCCACCACGCTCTAAGCGTCATTCTCTTTACTTCGAAAGTAACTTTACAAAACTTGAGCACAGACCTTCTGATGTTGTCGTTGTTGAACGACAGCAACAACAACATCCGTGTCAAATCTTATTAGCAGCATTAGGCGGTTGTAGCTCTTCATCAAAACAATCTAAGCGATATTCTGCACCAGGTCTTACAATTCTGAAGTAAGTGGCTTTGCTTTTGTTTTGTTGTTCACAGTTTTGTTCTTCTTCATCTAGCTAGTGCCTTTGCTGCTGCTGCTGCTGTGCTTTGTGTTTTTTTTACGCGTTCACCCCACCCCATCGGTTTCTTTTTTCTTACCAAGTTCTGTTTTGTAGAACTGGGTTTATAGTTAGAAATTTACATGCGTGTGCGTGTGTGTGTGAATAGAATATACCTATCAGGAGTGCGTACGGAAAGCCCAACAGTAGTGTCTCTTTTCCCCTTCAGCCTCCTTTCGTAATTGTTTTTTAAAAAAAATGCATATTATACACCTATTTGCTAACACTGCATTACTTTGTGTGGTGCTGTATTCATTTTACTTAATTATTTATGGCTGTGTTTTTGTGGTGGTGTTGTTGTTGTTGAGCAGTTTTTTTATTCTAAAAACGTGGTTATTTCCCCTCAAGCTCTTAGTGTGCGTTTTTTTCATAATTGTTAGTTTCCCCGTATCCTGTTTTTATTTTTGCCATTATACATCATGAGAGTGGGAAAAAGAAGCAGCAGCAAGTTAACAATATAAAATTATTTTTCCCAGTACCTTTTTTCTGTATATTTGCACTCAATTGTATTTCAGTCTCGTAAACTCGAAATAATAATAATAATAATAGTATTGGGTACTATTGAACAAAGAATAAGTGTCAAGGTCGTCCGTTCAAGGTCGAAGTTGTTTAAATCTTTAAATAATTTTTTATGCGTAGTACTTTTAATTTAAATAGCTAACTGGTGATAAATTCTAGAGTAGAATAGAATCGAGAGCTATTCATTGTTTTTTTTGTAATCAAATAAATCATTATAGTCGAAATGATTTTGTATTCGTCTGTAGCTACTTAGTTAGTTGGTTAGCTAGATTGCCAGTTTGTTAGCTTGCTTGTTTTTCATTTTGTGTAATAAATCACTCTTCTTTGAAGTCGTCAATTTATTGATTAACTGCAAGTATGAAAACTCAATTCAATGGTAGGTTGGTGGAATCATTACTGTTATTATTACTATTATTATTATTCCCTTGGGTTCCGAGTGGAACATAGGGCTTCAACAATACATCTCCATTTTGTTCTATCCTCTGCCGTTCTCTTCAACTGGCTCCACGATTGTCCATAATCTCTCATCTCCTCCTCGCCACATGATCTCCTCCATGTTACCCTCACACCGACAACCCACTCATCGCTTCCCACAGGGATTCCACTTGAACGACGGGCTGCATTGTGCGCGATATCAGTAAACAGCCTCCTCAGTGGCGTATGCCCGATCCATCTCCATTTTGTTGGGCAATCGGCTCTCACCTGTTGGTTCGTCACCAGTCAGAGTTTCTTGTTGCTAATTCTTTCTGGCCGGTCATTTGATCTTAATGTATGAAGCCAGCCAGTGGAGGTGTTGATAATAGTCTGTACCAGGTTGTTGAAAATCCTTTTCGTGATATGTTGGTCAAGTTTCTGACTGACTTCACATTTTTGTTGAACAGAATTCGAATCTTGTTGTTTATGCTGGCTGGCTGAGTGCAGTGCAGACGATTTCCAAACTAGTTTCAGGTTGATGAAGGCGTGCGTATCTTGCCTTTCCGATTCTTGCTGGCTGCCTGTGGTTGAAATGATGCTTCCTAGATAAGTGAAGGAATGAAGTGATGCAATCATTAGTTCATTATTATTTTTAACATTATGTACAAATGATATTGGTCGATGGTTCAGTGGTAGAGTACTCGCCAACGACGACGCCCAACTTGATTCGCGGGTTTCGATTCCCGGCTGATGCACTCCTAAACTTCTCTGCTAAACAGGTGATGGTAGCCAGCTTAAGAGGGAAGGTTGAGTATGAGGTAAAAAGAAGCACCACCGCTCTTGAAACATTATGTTCCATTCAGGATGCAAAGGAATAAAGAAATCCAAATGGTGGAAAGGATAACCCACTTACAAGCTCTCTAAAGACCACTCATAGCTTCTTTGACGATAAATTATTCTTCTCCTCATGATAATTCTAATACGATGCCTTCGCCTTTTCATCCACAAAAATAAGGCAGGTGTCAAAAGACATGATATCCATGCATGTGTAGACAGTTACGGACACCAATTTGACCGGAAAAATGAACGAATTTGAAATCACCAGACATCGTGACATACATCAGATTTATCAAACACTACAAGTGGACAAAAGATCAACTATTTAGTTCAACAAAATGATCATTACCAATACAAGTGGACAAGAGGATAAAACAGATCTCCAGGAACAGACAGTTACTTTCAAGGTCATCAGGATGGGTGGTTAATAAACTCATAGGGAATTCTAACAGCTCACATAATAATACCGAAGTCTACGCTGAATTTGTTGTCTAGAAAGACAATGAAAGCTTCTCAGTTAAATCATCCAGCTTAGAGAATACAACTACACCAATGCTCTATACACGTCAGTAGTGTTAAACATGGTTCTTATAGTTTATGGCTGATTTAAGTAAAACAACCAAATCAGTTTTCAGTTCTGACACGTAATAAGTGATGAATATGTAGATATGCATTTCTGGCTGTTTCTATTTCACTTGCAGCTAGTCCACCGGGGGGGGGGGGGGGTTCGAATCCTTCAATCTGAGCAATTGATTAGTATCATCAGCCTTCCCTATACAAGATAAATGTATCTCATGGTTTCACGCATGAAAAATCTACCGGGTGAACTAGGACAGATAAATAGCTTCAAAGTCTAAAAGACACTTTCAATTATACTTGAGAAGTATTCAACTGATCGTAACACTAGTAAACACAAAAATATTTCTCAATATTGTAAGTAAAGTGGGTGAGATTAAGAGAGCGTTAATTTGACAGATTGTCATTGTGACGTGATTGATGATGATTTGTGAGGCGGATAAAATGGAAACCTGAGTCCACAGCCACTTCTGAATTACTCGTTCAGTGTAGTCTACCAACTGACTTACAAGGCTTAATTTGGCAACCAGGCCATCGGTTCGCTGCATTCACACGACGCGAGTAATGCCTAATTGTCTTGAGAATGAAGCGCGCGTAACTATCTGTTCAGCATCAGACCAACTGCCTAGCTAGATTCTCTCTTGAATTATTATTAGTGATTACTATCTGAGATAACGTTGATGATGTAATTGGTGAGTAACTGAAGGTCTCGTAGCTTAGCGAGTAGAGCCTCGTGGGTTCGAGTCTTGCCGCGAATCAGATATTCATGTCACTCGGAATCACCACAACCATCATCATCAATATAAGACTAGGAATGTTAATGTAGCTTGTTGTGTACCTGTATTGGCAAATTGAATTGTCTGATTTGTATTATTAATCATAAGTATTGCTTTGATGTCTAATTACCTATACTACTACCCCACCACTATTACCTGTAAAGTTCATATTTCTACGTATTTCTTATTTATATACACGAATTATCTATCGTATACACACTTCTACTAATGATTATTGGGTCGGGTCCCAGTGACTGAAATGGTTTACGAGCCCATCTTGTAACTGGGCGATCCTGGGTGGGTGGAGGCTCACTGCTGAGGGGTCCCAAACTAGGACGAAACAGCTGTCCAGTGCTCCCTGGTGGTTTCCCAATGGTTCTCTAACCGATGTCAACTAAAAAACCAATTAAATAATGCTTGCTTTATGCCACTACAACATCGGAGAACACCTCGAAGACGTCCTTCTTTAATATTCTCGTGTACTTACTAACCTTATAATTAGCACAGATGAGTGCAGAGTTGTTTATACATAATCTCGTAGCTTACACAGATTCTTTACAGTTTCTGACAACAATAATACACTCCTGCTTACCTCTGTCAGGAATAAGGCAAGACTGTCTATTATCACCGATGATATTCGTAATTGTGATGGACTGGATTATGCGTCAGACTGTGGGTGATGGTGAGTGATGAAATAGGAATATGCGGGACCACCGATAAGAAGACTCTAGAAGATCTGGATTTCGTGCGTGAATTATTTATGTTTAATGTGACACAAAGACTCGAAGACTTGCAGGCGAGAAACGAAAAACTGGCTGAAGAAGCGGTGAATACTGGTGAAGAAGAAGAGAAGACGGAGGTGATGAAGCTATCCAATCAACAGCAAATATAAACAGCACCAATCACTTCAACGGGAGAAACTTGAAAGAGGTCACTTCCTTCACTTATCTAGGAAGCATTGTTTCAACCACAGGCAGCCGGAACGGATGAAGATGATGTAAAAGCCGACCAGAATCGCAAAGGCAAGATACACGTCTTCATCAATCTGAAACCAGTTTTGAAATATTCTACACTCAGCATAAAGAACAGGATTCGGATTTTCAATACAAATGTGAAGTCAGAAACTTGGCGCATCGCGTAAAGCATTTTCAACGCGTTGCAGACTTTCATCAACAGCTGCCTTCGCTCCATTTATATTCAAGATTAGATGGCTTTCGAAAAAGAATTAGCAAAGAGAAACTCTGGGAACAAACTAACCAACAGCCTATGGTCCAACAAATATATAGGAGGGAATGGAGTTGGATTGGGCATACGCTGAGGAGACCGTCGGGTGACATCATGTGCTAGAACCTCGAATGAGAAACGACGAGTGGGGCGTGGTACCGAGGGTGACTTGGAGAAGATCGTGTGGCGAAGAGTAGATGAAAGACTATGGGTAATCTTTAGGCCAGCTAAAGAGGACAGCAGAAAGTAGAAGAAAGTGTAGATGTTTTCCACTCGGAACCCAAGGGATCAATAATAATCATAATAAGTGAAGTGTGGTAATTTGTGTACCTTTTCTCAGTCAAAAGGAGAAGTTACAGGATTTCATCATTAGCTGAATGGTTAGAGTCCCAGACTAGGACGAAGCAGCTATCAGTCCAGTACTCCCAGGTTTTCCAATGGGGTTCGAACCCAGGACCTTCTGGTTACATGACGAGCTCGTAGACCATTAAGCCACTGGGACTCGATCCTACAAACCAATACTTGAAAAAGTAGAAGTTTTATATGCTTTATTTAATTCATTATATATGTATTAGTAATAACTTTGTAAATATAATTTAGTAATTTGTATATTCACTGTATAATTTGTGTGTTTTTATTGTTTACTCTTTACCTCAATTGTTATATACACAATGGATTGATATATACACGCATATAACTAACACACACACATCGCTTACACAACACATACACACAACACAACACATAACTACGCTTACACACACACACACGCACACATGTATGTACACGCATAATTTAGACCGTCAGATGAATTTGCAAAGGAGACATTGTGCAGTTTAGCGTCAATTATTGAATCTACATCTGGAACTATCGGTCGATCTGGTTCAAATGAAAATACACCAAGTAAATCAGCAACCAGTGGAAATGATAATATCAAGGTAAGTCAGAACGGACTAGTTTGTGTCATAAACTTTGCTCATGTTCCTCTCTTTATATATATTATATTGTTTTACTCAATTCAGGAGAATCACTGGCTTGTTTGCGCGTTACCACACACGCATGGTTTGGCGCTCGATTCCTGGCCGGCCGACACACTCCTAAACCTCGCTTAGCCGATAGTAAGCCGGGTAAATAGGGAGTGGGGTGGGTGGGGGCTGGTTAGTTGCACGGAAGGTTGGCAACCAAGCCCCCCGCCCCGTAAAAAGAAACGCTACTTCTACTGAAACTTCAAAGGTCAAGTTTGAAGTGCCCTATGTTCCACTCGAAATGCAAAGGATTAAATTAATTAGTTTTGATTGGATGGAGTATTTCATCAGTAGCTGACGTCAGTTAGAGAACCACTGGAAAACCTGGGAGTACTGGACAGTTGTTTCGTCCTAGTGTGGAACTTGAACTGCCACACTTCTGTCCGCGAAGTTCCATGTTGAAAGTCAGTCAGGTAGTCACTATTTCATTGTTTTAATCCTTGTCTGTCTTGCTTGAACAATTACTGAAGTATTGATAGGACCCGGCATAAAATAGTATATTATCCTTTCTCACCTTGCCGGAATGATTGTCAGGTCAAATATATATAGGTCAAGGTAGGTAGAACGGGGTCAGTCAGATTAGCAGAGCACAAAAACCTAGCAGAATCTAGATTAGTTGACCCTAATAATAAGCTCAGCTATAGGATTAAATGCAATCATACAATAGGATGGGATAAGATGACAGTTTTAAAATAGGCGAAGTTCAACAATACCGTCCCAGGAGTGCGAACGCTCCAATGACTTCGAACACATTCTAGTCGTTGGCTAACAGCATCTGTTATTATCATAACTAAAAATATCAACGCTATTCACCAACTAAGGAGTAAATTTCACTCCAGATCACGTTTTTAAGTACGGTTTGGACAATGTGTTAATAGCTCGTTAGGGTTAGGGTAAGTATTGGGTTGGGGTTAGGATGAGGGTCGTAATTAGGATTAAGATTAGGTTTTATGGTTAGGGTTACGATTAGGGATAGATTTCGAGTTGGTGTCATTTATTTTTATTTGTTTTATTATCCACATTTTCCTGGTAAGTGGTCGTCGATCCTTTTACTGCAAACCATATTAATTCAACCGAGGGCTTCGGGGAGGATATCACAACAGGATAAGAGCGATAAAAGAATCACAAAGACAGATCGTCTTCAGACACCTTGGTGAATACATGTACAGAAACTAGTCTAACTTAGCAACTGATACTCCTCATTATAATTGAGACGTATTTATAAGTCCTATCAGAGAAAGATACCCTGTGTTAATGTGTTTTCATGCATTTTCTTGTAAATAAACGTCATTTTTTGTGCAAAAATTCCTCATTTTTATGATTGGTCGGCTCTAGGTCACTCGTGCGTTCGCATCCTTGGGACGCTATTGTTGAACTTTGCCTTAAAATCTAATATAACAGTTTAGGGGGTCAGAGATTAATAACACAAGCTTTATTTATCAAATCAACCGAAAATACGTGCAATAGAAATGATTCAACACCTGTCCAGCCGGACATCTGGAAAATTCTACTACCCTTACGACGAGGCGAATAGGAGGGAATAAAGAAAACTATTGTTCTAGTTATCATTGATATGATTATGAACAGTAATAAATTGTGTTTTAAACTTTGTCACCCATTCTCCACTGTGTTGTGATATATATACAATGAATAAATTAATAGTGGAATTGAAATCAATCAAGCCCCTGGAAACTCTATCATCACCTGAAGATTTAATCTTATCTATCTTTAAGCTATCACCTTTATTTCTTTCCCTCTTTGAGTTAATACTCTTCTTCTTCTTCACATTGTTGTCTCTCTACTTCTTTTTTCTCTCTCTCTTCTCGATCGTCCTTAAACACTCCTGCACTTTTCTTGCTTCCTAAAAATGCGCTTAAGTTGATTTAAGGATTAAGATGTGAGAGAGCTTATTGTGTCTTTTTAAATAGGCATGAATAAGTGATTGGTGTGGGGGTGGGGATTTCGGTTTTTACTGCTAAAGTTTATTTACCTTTATATAGAAAAATGATTCGTTTGTTTGTTTATTTGTGCTTGTTGTGTTTTAATCCGAAAAGATCAATGATAAGAGAGAGTATGTAAGGGATTTGCATAAATCCCATACTCTTCTTCTCATTGAATAATCCAGTATTATTATGCTAGGAAGATTCTGTTACAATTGATTTTATTATACTTCAATTTCGCTGCGGGGTGTTCTTTACAAAAGTGAGTGAAAGGCCGAATGAGAACGTCTAGTGCTTACAATCGGACTGGTAGAAGACATGCTTGTCTACCTAGGGGAGCTAGAAAACCATAATTCCAAAACTACTACGGTGTACGTAGGCTCTGGAACTCGAAAGCAGTGAATACTGTATGAAACTGTATTGGTCACCGGGATCCATGGGAACGCTACTCTACTGACTTGTGGATCAGACTCCTCAAGTCAAAAAACTGAAGATGGTGGTGGCCCCCTTAACAAGACCACCTGTTTTTTGGAGCAATATCCCAGCCCTCACACAAACTATAGGATTCTGGGTAAAGCATTTCCGTAAACTGAAATTATTCAAGTGGTATATTTGAAACAGTCTAGGTCGACTGAGATACTGAGTGAGTCTAGAATGCGCCTTTTTTCCTATTTGGGATTCGTCATCTGGATGTGTCTGATATCCCCAGTCAGTGGTAGTGTTCCTGCTGTGACTCGCACCCAGTTTTTGTCGTTTCGAACTCCTTCACTCGCTGGAGAATGCAGGTCCTACTGCCACCGGCTAACGAGTGTCAAATAGAGGACGAAATGATCATCCTGGATTCAACCGCTAGTCATCACCCACCAGTTTGCTTCCACTCTTGTTTATCTTAGTTTTTATGCATGAATTGTGGAGTTGTTGCTCACTGGTCCGAGCACTTGTTTGACTGCCAACCAACGGGACCACGGGTTCGAATCCCGTAGCCCCCATACAAGAGATGTGGATCATGGAAATGTAGATTGTTGTTGAGTACCATGCATTAACCGATTGGTATGTAGTTAAAATTATTATCATTATTATTATTATTATTATTATGGTTATTCAAAAAATTAAAAGGTTTATATCCTTGTTTGTCTTTTTCTTTCCCTTTTCCAAAAATCTCATTAGCTTGTGTCATCATCAAATGGCTATCATCCGACTACTACAGATTCAGATATGGCAATCACAAGTTCAGCTTCTTCAAAACTAATGGATAGAAATGACAAAGAAGGTATGTAATGGTGTGTGCGTTTGTCTGTTTGTTTGTTTCTTTAATGTGTGTGTGTGTGTATTTGTGTCAAATGTTAACTTATATTAAAACAGATAAATTACCATTTAATCTTAATTGCATTACGAAGAAACTTGCATTACTTCATGACTCATATAATTAACAGTAAATTATTGTTGTATTTACATTAGAGGAGAAATCTAATTTCAATAAGTATTACAGAAAAGTTGCGCAATGCTAAAGAGCCGCCACTATATATTGGGTTTGCCTATTAGAATGTCACCTTGTTAAAGATAAGATTAGAGACTGTTAGAGAAGAAACTTCATTTGAATATATAATAGACAGTAGGATTATATTCATGAATTCCCATAGCTGCTCCAGCTGTGTGTGTGTGTTTGTGTGTGTTGTGTGTGAAACGAGAACAAATCTGGAATTCCGTTTAAAAGATACGGCGAAATATGATAAATAACCAGGATACAGGCTTCTCCAGTCCAGATGGGTGACGAAAATCAGTCAAATATAAAGCAGGATTTGTTTCAGTTTTGATCACAGATTGATGTCAGTTAGAAAACCATTGAAATCCAGGGAGAATTGAACAGCTGTTTCGTCCTAGTCCGGGACTCTTCATCAGTACGCACCTGCCGGGGATTTTGAGCCTAGGACCTTCCAGTTACAAGACAGGCTGGTAGACCATTCAGTTACTGAGATCTGATCCAACAGCCTGCGCCAATCACCACCAGCCAATATTATTGGAGAGTGTTTGTCCTAACACCCGACATGGTGGGCGCCCCACGTGGTCACTACTTCTCACAAGGACTCTGGGCATTGGATCAGGTCCTAGTGGCTGAAGGATCTACGAACTTGCCTTGTAATTTGAGGGTCCTGATTTCTACACAGATGAACGGAAAGGATATTATAATTTGTCATCCCTTGAATATATTCACCATAGAGTCAAGCATTCTAACGATTTTGTGAATCCCATTAAAAGCATCCACACCAATTCTATTGAAGGGTTTTGGAGAAGATTGAAGAATAGGACTTCAGAGTGATTGATTCTATATTAGTTTGTTTATTAAATATGTCACACAGTGAAACAGTGTTATTTAAAGTGATTAATAAATCTCAAAGAGGTGGTATATTGAGTCATACAGATGGGCGAGTACACGTGTAGAATGTGGTTTAATTTCTCTGTTGATACACTTATAGAAAACCGGGAGGCATTTTGTCACATCCTGTGTAGTAACACTTTCATGTCCTTTTTATTGACGTTATTTTCACAAATCTGTCTACTTTATACGTAAAAGTCTCCTCGTGCGTCCATAGTCATCCGTGAGGGAGGTGTCACTCCTTCTGTGCTTGTAGTTTAAACTCGCCTATTCGGGCCCGTGATTGACCTCCTGCAGGACTGTGATGGATACTTTCATTGGACACTAGGTAGTAAGTAACTAATGCCATGCGTCTAGTTTACTTCCTTGCTAGTTTTCTGGACGGTCGGTCCCATGCCCTGATAAAGAGGGAGCATTGGGCATAGGCTAACAACAACTCTACACCACAAAAGCTACCAAACTGCTAGAGAAACTTCAGCGCACAAGAAAAATACAAAAAATGTAAACAACAAACTTCTTCGCTGGAATCGGACAGGCGAAATGACACAGCAGGCTGATGAAAGCCAGCCTTCAGGGAGCCATTCAGCTAGCCGAGTGTCTTCTCTCGATGAAATCAGGAATAAGAATGGGGACATGGAATATTCGTACAATTTACGAAGTTGGCTGGGAAACGCTGCCCTGGTAGCCAAAGAAATGAGAAGATATTGTATAGAAGTTCTGAGAATCTGCAAGATCAGATAGCTTCGGTACAATCTGTCAAATGTCATCTGTCCACTATTCCTTCCTTTAGTGCAGACTGCATTTCTTTCTGGCTTTAATGTTTAGTCTATTTTAGAATGATCCATGCTTTTAATTAGTATTTAATTGGTGGATGGTGACTAGCAGTGGAATCCAGGATGCGCATTTCGTCCTATTTGGGACTCGTCATCCGGATGTACCTGCATTTCTCAGTGAGTGATGATGTTCCCACCGAGGCTCGAACCCAGTGCCCATAGTTTCCAACGTCAAAGCGTTATCCACTAGACCACTTGGGCCACGAGAGCCACCTCTTGTGCAACTGGTCATATTGATTGACGAGTCCCAAATAGGACGAAATGCGCTTTATCCTGGATTCCACTGCTAGTCACCATGCACCAATTAAATACTAATTAAATGCCCAGACATCGTCGAAGCATCTGCTCAAGAAGCCGACTTGTCAACCTGAGACCGAGCACTTCGGTACAATCAATCGACGGGAAAAATCTAAAATTCAATTAGATCCATGCTTTGTTTTCATCGTTTTATATATACATAGAATGTTGTTATTGTTACAATCATTGCACTGCTGAATAATAGTCAGTGTGCCTAGCTTAGTCATTCATTATTATTAGCTGAATTATTGTTAATCTGTGTGCTATCACTATCCTGGTATTTTCGTCTGTTTTGACATAATTTTCTCACTTTCTCTCGCTCTCTGACGAAAACGCAAATGTGAATAGGCACTGAGACTCTCTTTCCCTTTGTTTGTTTACCTTAGGGTGTATTGCGTACATGCAATATACACGCACCACACACACACACACATCTATACGTGATTATTCATCAATCAATATTTCCTGTTTTCCCTTTTTTTTTTAAATATTTAGATACATTTTTTCACAAAGGTCATCTTTTGTTCTATTGGATTATCTCTTTTTAGGGGTAAAAAGGAATAATCATAATAAAAGGTCAATGTGTGTGCTTAGTTTATTGTTCATCAGGGGTTTATCAATATTCCGCTTCAAGTTTTCCCCTCTTTGCTTTGATTTCTTATATTGTTATTGTTATTATCCCCTTGGGTTCCGATTGGAACATAGGGCTTCTCATCAGTCTTCTTTAGTTGATTCCACAATTTCCCATAAGCTTTCATCTCCTCCACATCACCTTTGGACGCCTGACGCGTGACATCAACCAACGGTCTCTTCAGCGTGTACACCCACCCATCTCCATTTTCTTAGGCATATTTAGTTGGAGGGTTTCATCATGAGCTGATATCAGTTAGAGAACCATTGGAAAACCACCAGGGAGTACTGGACAGCTGTTTCGTCCTATTTCGGGACTCTTCATCAGTACTTGCCCACTGCCAGGGTTCGAACCCAGGACCTTCTGGTTACAAGGCCAGCGAGCTCGCAGACCATTAAGCCACTGGGACCCGATCCAATGGCCAGCCCATGAATTCTAATTCACAATTCATGACATAGCGCGACCACTTCGCAATGACTTCTTCGGTGAGTTACTGCCTCACCTTCAACCCTACTGGTGACGGCTTCCCACTAGAATCCCAGGTAACTACCTACCTGAATAGGGCCAGTCGTTAGTGAGCATCAGAACCAGGTTTTCCAATGGTTCTCTAACTGATGTCAGCTCATGATGAAACCCTCCAACCAATCAAAAACCCAATCCCTACAAAATTGATACTTGAAAATTAAGCATACTTGTTGAGCAATAGGTCCTTGATTGGTTCGTACCTCGCCAAAGTTTCTTGTTGCTAATTCTTTCAGTATGAAACCAGTGAAGATGGCAGTTGTTGATAAAAGTCTACAGTAACCGGTTGGGAATGTTTCTCGTGACGCATGAGCCAAGGATTTCTTGCAGAGTAGACTGAATTTCTCTCGGCTATTTTTGTGGTAGAAAGCTGAACTAGCCAACGAACGAACGAACTAAGGAATATGTGTTGTCCGGTATCACAAAGGGTTTATTTATTTTCACTAAAGAAATGAAGTTGATTGTGAAGGGGTTGTTATTGTTTTGCTATTATTCCTATTGTATTGGTACAACTCAATTTTATGCAGAACAGACTTTACATGTGTGTTATGACGGAGCAGTACTTGGTTATGGGTTTGTTTAAACGTGACTAGAATGTGCTTTCAGAAAACAACACTATAATCAGCTGATCACTAGATATTATCTCCCACACAGAAGTCAGACTGGAGAAAAAAAGACGACCAGAATGACGAAAACAGCAACAACAATTGCAACCTTTATTAGACAAATTCTCAGAAAGTTAAGCCATAAATAAACCAATCAAAACTTCCCAATAAGGTTATCATGTCAGTACATACATAAATCATGATTATATGGTTAACAAAGCAGCTTGTCCATCCTAACAATATGCCAGGCTGAGAATCACACATCGTGTAGTGAGTGGATGGTTATACTACTTAGTTGGCCAAGCGGGACTCGAACCCGTGACGTATTCTCTTGGAACTAAGTGCTTAACCCAATGAGTTATATATATATATATATATATATATCGCGGAATTGAAAATATAAAATTCTTGTTTGACCTGATGTAGACTCAGTCATGACTATAACTGATTGTGATTTCGAATTTTGGATTATTCAAACCTGGATGGCCAGGGTAATGATAATGACTGAACTAACTTCTTTTATTGTGAGTACATGGATGTTACTTTTTTGATTATGAAGAACGAAGAGGAAGCAAAGAACATCCTGGATAAATTTAATGAGGTACATCCTGCAATAAATTTTACCATTGAGAAAGAAAAAGACTCTAGTATTTCATTTTTAGACGTCCTTATGACCAGAAAAGAGGACGGCACAATAAGAAGAAGTGTTTATAGAAAACCTACATCAACGGGCCAGTACACACATTTTCTCAGCTTTGTGCCCTTGAAATACAAACGCAATTTAATAAAGTGCTTGGTCCACAGAGCAAGATAGATTTGCTCGGACGAATGTCTTGACGAGGAACTTAACAATAATAAACGGTTGCTAAGTGAGAATGGTTATCCTGAAAAGTTTATTGATAAGAATATGAATCTGAAACCAAAACAGCCCAAGTTACCAACATTTCCAAAAAAGGCCTTATTCTTACAGATGCAGTTCCTAGGAGACAACACCAGTGAGATACTAACACAGCGCTTCAGAAATGCGGTAAAAAGAGCATTCTCTGCTGCTGAATTACGCTGTATCTTTAAAACCACTCCTCTTTGCGTTCGGGAGTAAAAGACAAACTGCCTAATTTCATTTCTTCCATGTGTGTCTACCAATTTAACTGCTCCTGAGGAGCCAGTTATATAGGCCGTCGAATTTCCGAACATCACCCTGCAAAGGACAAACAAAATCTATTCACAGCGCTATTATGTCTCATCTTGTGGAGACAGAACGAACACAAGATTGACGTTAATCGTGCTTTCAGGGTCATTTACCGCATACCTACGAATCTCAATTTCGAATTCTGTCGTGAAATGAATCACTATTTCGCCTTCAATGATCTACCCAACCAAGGGCTACTCCAGATAGTCTTACCATTTTTGGTAAACGCAACCTGCTGCCTCCCTTCTAATTTAATCTGATTTGGATTGATGGGAGAGAGTCTTTTCCAGCTGAGAAGCTGATGACGGGATTACGAAACGGATAGCAGTTTTATCACTGATTTTTACATGACAGCCATGTGATCGTAGGTGTGATAACGACCTAGCCGTTAGTTGGATTCTCGTGGGTTATCTGTGTGATTACATCACTGACCATCTCTTGCCAACTCAAGACTATTTTTGATCGGACACTAGTCAGTAACTAGTGTAATGTGTGTGTGTGTGTTTAGTCCTTCAGCCATCTATCTTTCCTTTAACTCTGTTGTATAAGATTTGAAGACTTTCATCTTATCCCATTCTGTTGCGTGGTTGTATGCAATTGGATGTAGCTAAGCTAGTTTCTGGACTACTTTTTTAATCTTATTTGTGCCAACTAATGTACATTTTGCGAGGTTTTTGTGTTCCACTAATCTGACTGACCTGACATAATTTGTTACTAAGTGGTTATTGATATTAGATAGTCGAAGGCAATCTGCAGGAAGCCTTGCTCGACCTAGGTTTCATGCTAGTTGGCACTCACCAGTCATCAAGGTGTATCTGCGAACTTGAAGGTACTCATCTCCATTTTAAGATTCGAATCCATGTTACCCAGTGAATGTTGCAGTCAGAGACGTTACCACTGAGCTGTCCAGGCTCCCGACTGACCTGCTGTAGGACTGTATTGGATACTTTTGATTGGACACTACTCAGTAATCAATGAAATGTGTATCCAGTCCTTTCCTTGGTACATACTGAATTCTATCAGTCAAGTTTGCAATGTGGCCGCCATGCTAGGCGGCGGTTCACCATCACGGTGCCCTGTGAATTGTTGGTATTAGATGTTTGGAGGCTCAGTGGTGTAACGTCTCTGACACTGCAACACTGCACTGGGTGACGCAGGTTCGAATCTCAGAAATGACATGAGTTCCCTCAAGGTGACTGCAGATACGCCTTGCTGACTGGTGAGTGTCAACTAGCACGAAACCTAGGTGAACCAAGACTTCCTGTGGCCGATTACCTCAAGGGTATCTCAAATAGTCTTACTACCAATTATCAATCAATAATTCTCCTGTTTTTTCGTTGCACAATGTTCATTATTTCCCCCTAGTAGGTGCGCTCAGCTCATCATCTCATGATTAGCATATGGAAAGTAAATAGAGCAATCTAGTGATCAGCTAACTTCTTGTTTGTTTATTGTTTTTGTATACAGCTGAATACTTTTATTACCAGTAAAAGAGATTGTGGTTGTGGCTGTCCTGATGATAGTTTAGTTTTCTTTGTTGTTGTTTTTTTCTTTTTTACTTCGTAATTATTTCTAATAACTGGGGTTGTATCTTTAACCGAACAACAATAATTACTGTCCAAATAGTTAAACCATATGTACAGCTGACTTTATCAAATAAGTAAATCTTATTGTGGATTAACCCTTAGTTAAAAGAAAGAACTACTGGAAAGAAAGATGGATAATACTCGCCGAAGACATTGGCTAGGGATCGCGCTATGTCGTGAATTAGCAGAAGTTAGAATTCATGGGCTGGCCATTGGATTGGGTCTCAGTGGCTTAATGGTCTACGAGCTCGCTGGCCTTGTAACCAGAAGATCCTGGGTTCGAATCCCGGTTGGTGCGTACTGTTGAAGAGTCCCAAACACTAAGACGAAACAGCTGTCCAGTACTCCCAGGTTTTCCAATGGTTCTCTAACCAATGTCAGCTCATGATGAAGTCCTGTAACCAATCAAATCCCTACAAACCAACACTTAAATGACTTGTTTTAGTTTGAACCTATGTGAATTCCTGAGGGGACTAGGTGCTGATTTGAGAGGTTATATTCCAATTGCTTTTGGTGTTTTTATCATTGTCTATCATAATCGACATTATTTTACTTACCTTATCGATCATGTTGTACTCATTAACTAACTAACTAACTTACCAACCCACCAACGAACTAAAAGGATTAAGCATAATATAAATGTATAGGTTAGTATGTGTTTGAGTGACTTTTGTACCTTTGGTTATTTGTATTTCTCGTGTAAATATTATCTAGACTGAAAAGTTGGTTTTAGCAAGTTCTGTACTGTAACATAATTAATTACCTGTCTAATTGGTGATATTCAAGTATTGATTTGTAGGGATTTGATTGATTGGTCACAGGATTTCATCATGAGCTGAGATCATTTAGAGAGCCATTGGGAAACCTAGGAGTACTGAACAGCTATTTCGTCCTAGTGCTTGGGATTCTTCATCAGTACATGCTAGCTGGGGTTCGAAGCCAGAACCTTCTGGTTACAAGGCCAGCGAGCTCGTAGACCACTAAGCCACTGGGACCCGATCCAACGGCCAGCCCATGAATTCTAACTTCTACCAATTCATCACATAGCGCGACCTTCCTTTACGTTCCCAGTGGAACATAGGGTTTGAGGCTAGAGCCTTGAAGATTCGGTAGCAGTGGTGTTTATTTTTACGGGATGGGGTTGCTAGCCTCATACCCAACTTTCCCTCTTTACCAGTCTTATTACTGGCTTAGAGAGGTAAAGGAGTGCGTTGGCGGCCGGGGATCGAACCCCGAACTGCATGAGGCGTGGTTGGCGAGCATTCTACCGCTGTGCCACCGACGTAGTAAAATGCTTGTCACCACCTTGTGGGTGGTGTATTTATGTGTAAAGTTTTGTGTTGAAACCAGTTAGCCATATAGCAGCATTGACTTGATATTGGTATCCAAGATTCGCGTTTTGTTCCTTATGCGTTTTCGAAAGACATTACGACTTAGAACAAATAAATAATAATAACAATTATATCCTAAAAACTGATTAGCGAATGCATATTTTCGAATAATTCTTGCCTTTAAAAGGATTACTCACTGCCATGCGTTTTCTAAATTGCATCTTTTTTAGACTAATACATTTATTCCCTAATAAATTTCCACTTCCTCTGATTCTTTTCCTAGGAGTAGGTAGAATACATGATGAACCTCAACCTCCACCGCCACCACCACATTCGTCAGATATTATTCACGCTGGACAGTACACTGGTAAGCAGTCGTCACATCAACCGTTCGATGGCAGTAGTAGTACAAATATTCTAACCAATCAACCTTCTTTAATTGGACAATCCAATGTGGCACAAAGATCCAGTCCACAAATCTCTCCTCAGTCTATAGTAATTACAGACTCAAATAAAGCACTGCCTAGTTCAGTTTGGTCAGTTCCAGCCAATAGTACTGCAGGCAGCAGCAGCAGCAATGTCGCTCCTCGAGTTTCAGAGCCTAGTCCACGTGCAAATCAAAAAACGAAAGCTCAGGTAATCCTTGTAATCCCTGTCTCGTTTGTCATTATTTTTCCCTTCCTATACATGTCATACCCGCTTTTTAGCTAAACAAAATATATTCACAATGTTTCTTGTCGTCATCAGATTTGTCACTTCCAAGTTACACAGTTTGAAGTGAGAATTCATCAAAACAATCTAGGTTACAGTGTATATGACAACCTGCTTGTTACTGTAAATATAAATCAAGAAACCAAGCATGATGTTGTGTATATTACTCATTGTTAAGATCAGTTGGATATCACTCACGACACACAGTACTTCTTGGCAGTTAGATTACAGTGATCCAAAAACTAGACTGCTATTTCTCTGGGTACACCGAGTACACTGCTGGTGAGCCTGTCCAAAAGATAAGTGGACTGGTAAACGAACCTCTTTTTATTAGGGAAAACACATTATATTTGTACATTTTTAGCCACACTGAAACCTGGCTAGGTCCAACGGACAATAAATTGTTCTGATTGGTCGACAATTGGCCCAAAGTTAAATCAATGAGAAGAAAAGTTGTCCCACGAGGTTATTTCATGCACACACCGTAAACTAAACCCAGATTTAAGATAGCCAGCCAATGACTTAAAATGCTGGTCGCTTCCCATCAATCTGCATCTATCTGCCTACTTATAAATCTTGTCAGTAGTACACACCACAACATCACTTCATTCTTAATAACAAGCACTTCTGGTCGACACGAGTAGATTCGAACTAGTTATAACTAATCAATAGTATCCACCATCATGCTAATTTGCCCGCTTTTTTGACTACCATTTGTGGTATTATGCAGATCATATATTGTGATTTGAATCACAGAAGAAGTGGCAAAGACATGACTTCAAGTGAACATAGAAGAAGACACACTGGTGATGAAGAGAACCAAGTAAGAATAACAACAAGCACCATTGACTGTCGAAGGGATAAATTTGAAAGTTACAGGATTTTCATCATGAGCTGACATTGGTTAGAAAACCACTGGGAAACCAGCTGGGAGTACTGGACAGCTATTTCGTCCTAGTTTGGGGCTCTTCCTCAGTACGCACCCACCGGGATTCGAACCCAGGACCTTCTGGTTACAAGGCCAGCGAGCTCTTAGACCATTAAGCCACTAGGACCCAATCCAATGGCCCATGAATTCTAACTTCTGCCAATTCACGACATAGCGCGACCACTAGCCAATGTCTTCGGCGAGTATTTGTCCTCACACCCGACCTGCTGCACCCTACTGGTCACGACTTCTCAGTAGAACCCCAGGTAACTACCTACCTGAATAGGGCAAGTCGCTAGGGAGCATCTCATTGGTATTCAAATGTTGGTTTGTAGGGATTTGATTGGTTACAGATTTTCATCATGAGCTGACATTAGTTAGAGAACCATTGGAAAACCACCAGGGAGTACTGGACAGCTTCTTCGTCCTTGTTTGGGACTCTTCGGTAGTACGCACCCACCGGGATTCGAACCCAGGTACTCCCAGTACTCCCTGGTGGGTTTTCCAGTGGTTCTCTAACCAATGTCACCTCACGATGAAATCCTGTAACCAATCAATCAGATACCTACAAACCAACACTTGACATTCAAAGGTTGACGGTATGTTGATAAGTTTTCATATATACACTCATTCGTATGATTTGAGCAGCGTCAGAGTGAGGATGTAAGATACTACTATCAGCTCTTTGAGTTCATGTGTGTAATTTATTCACTCAAAATGATGTGATATCTAAAATTTTAATTTCTTCACTTTGGTTACTTCATTGTACCATTATTTTTTGTTTATTTATTTACTTATTTCTAAACTTTTAGTTCGATGGTCAATCATCTCAGTCAAGTGGTGCTGGTGGCGGCGGCGGCGCAAGTAGTAGTAGTAATTCATCCTTCGGTCTCATTAAATCCGTTGCCCTATCGAATCCAATCTGTGCTAATCTACTGAATTTCAGTCTACCGTCGATCACCACATCGAATGCGGTTATTACAACTGGTCCACCACGTGGTGGTGGTGGTGGTAGTACTACTGGCATATTATCAACAACTGTCAATATCAATAACCTGCCAACAACAGCTACTGGTTTAGGCGGTGATACACCCGAGATTCAAGTGTATAAAAAACGCTTTAATTCAGAGATTCTATGCGCATCCACATGGGGTGTAAATCTGCTAATTGGTTTGGAGACTGGCCTATCTCTATTAGATCGTAGTGGTGAAGGTCGAGGTAAGTGAAGTATTTTATTTGTATATTTTGTATAAAATTAACACTTAACTAGGCACTGCCTTTTTTCTCCTTTTTTCTCATTCCATGAAACTCTTCACTCATATACTACTGATTGATTGGTTGAAATGAGTACTAGTGTTTAATGCTATTTAAATTAGAACTGAAATTGAGCAAATAAATTGGATGACGTAACATAAATGACTAGAAATTGAGTGTTGTTCAAGTCAGTAACAGTGGTAGGAGGTGTAGAAATTGAATCGGGTAGGGGTAGAGAACAAAAAAGTTGAAAATGTAAAATATTACAATTGAGAAGACAAAATAATACTAACGAAGAGACAAGAAAAGATTAGGTAGAATTTACTTGTCGGGTAATAAGATAGATTACGTCCATTGCAAGTGTAGTGATAGAACGAACTTCTTCTGTATGTAGAGTTCAGGACTTAGTAAGTGAATCGCCATTGCTTCTGCAGTTTGAAGAAGTCTGATTCGTACACCTTTAGGGAGACTACTTCTTTCTCTGTAGACGACTTCTACACCTCACTACCACTGTTACTGACTTGAATAACGCTCAGTTTCTAGTCATTTATGTTGCGTCATCCAACTTATTTACTCAATTTCACTTCTACCTAATCTCTACCTGTAGTTACCTCAGTTGCTATCCTGAACTAAGTTGTAACATTTTAGTCAATTATATTACGTCATCTAGCTTACTAACTCAATCTTATTTTAGTTGCTGTCTGATTAACTTTGTCTCTATACTACATCATTCTTGTATTAACTAATCAATTATCTAAACTTGACAAACCTCATGTACACACACACACAAATAATCATATATAAATGCGATTGTACAGCTATGTGAATGAATTCGCCGGAAAGAGTCTCTTCGCTGAATGTCTTCTCTTTTTCATATGACTCAATGGGGATTTTCAATCTAATTTACAGAAATACGCAAATACCACTGACCCTCTCCTCACTTCTTGCTTCCCTAGAGCTTCTATCGACACAAACACTGCATTGTCATCTGAGAACAATACAAATACGCCTCATCATCAGCTGCTTCAAGACATGACAAAATCCCCACAACATGACTCAGCTAATCTTAGTGTAATTTTTATTAATGCTAACTCTCCTGTAGATTTCAGATCAAATAAACAAAGGCTAAGTGAATTATTTATTTATGCTACAATACAGTCCGGTAGCTTAATTGTCTGAAATTAGATTTCCGCAGCAGGTGACACAGATTGGAATACTTAAGAAACACTTCTGTTTCATCGAAAATGAAGTTCTACAGTAGTAAGTATCAAAATACATTTGAAGTAAGTTGTTTCTCTGAACATCTGATTTTAAAACAGGGCGTGTTTCAGCATATTTGACCGATCTGATGAATGAGATCAGCATTAAGGATCTGACTGTAACACCTGCCAATACCTTGAAAATAAAATGGCTAAATACTTTTGAAACTACTTCACAGCATAAATTTGAGTATCATTGATATATAGATAGAATTTGTACACTGTGGTAGAGTACAATTCTACCGTAGAATAACTTTATCAAATGAAAACCTCAGTCATAATAATTATACTGTATCAGTTTGTGTTTATTAAATACAATTATTCTCTGATGGAATAAATATCTGAGTGGTTCTCATAGAGACTGATGTGATATGCAGCATTCTGATTTAACCTAATGTATGATGAATACCACACAGTCCATAATCCCATTGAAAGTTATCGAATATGTCTTCAAGCACGTTTGTCCTAATACCCAGCTTAAAAAATAGACAATAATAATAGTGCACAGAACTCTCAGAAGAACTGATTGCATAATACGTTCCCCTCTTCCGGAATCTTTAAGTGAAATACGAACTAATAGTAGATCGTGTGACACCATGTCATCTAACCTGAAACGCAAACCAATCCTTTGTAATATTTCTCATTTGTCTCCTTTGAGAAATATACAACATTCGGTTGAATGTCAATTAATAAAGAGTGCACCAGTAAATTTTGAGATTCGAAGGTATATTTGAATGATTGAAGACTGTAGGTGGTTACTTTTATTTCCTAAGGGGTGGCAGCTTGTACTAAAATTGTTAGAAATAGTTATAAAATGTATTGGGATACGTTGCCACTGACAACTATGCTTTTTCTAAAGCTGAATAAAAGCTTGTGTATCATAAGGCTGTAAACATTTAAACACTACTGCGAATAAACAATACAATTATTATTATCCCCTTGAGTGCTGAGTGGAACATAGAGCTTCACCAACACGTCTCTACATTGTTCTATTCTCTGTTGTCCCCCACAGCGAGTGAATCGCCATTGCTTCTGCACTTGGAAGAAGTCTGATTCGTACACCTTTAGAAAGACTACTTCTTACTCTGTAGACAACTTTGAAGTTTGTTTGGGGTGCAGCTCCATCTTAGAACATCTGATAGAATCCCTAGTATAGACTGATTTTTAAAAGTTTCTTTTGTTTTTGGCAAATGGGAGAATGAATGAATGTGCACAGGTTTATGACTCTGATTGTAATTCATATCTATCCTTACTAGTTATTATTCCTCTACCTGCCCTCCCTCACCCCCATCCCTACCGACATCACTACTACAATCCCAGCCGTATTAGACCACTACTAAAACTTCGTATATGTGCAGTCTAACTCCTCCCTACAATTGTATTGAATTGTATTTCAACTAGCCTTCTGACTCATTCAACGACAACAACAACAACACCACCAACAACATCAGCAAGAACAGACACCAGACAAAGCATAAAGAGAATTTGAAGAAACAGTCAAAACAGTTCAAAACTAAATTCCTACATAAGAGAATTATTTTTCTCCATAGTGTTTTTCAACACAACATCAATACAGCAACATTCCTTCTCTCCTTTATACTAGAATTTATTAACCCCCAGTAGTCGATTGCAAAAAGTCAAAGTTCACTTGGTGGTGGTTAATGCACGATGGTATGTGTGTGTGTGTGTGTGTGTGTGTGTGTGTGTAGTGAAGGTTAGAAAATTCAATGGGATTTTCTTAGGTCAAATGTGAAAGTGATGTGTGTACGTGTGTAAATGGAATTTTAAAATGTATCGAAATGATAAATAAAAAGTGGCATCAAGGCAAAATGTCATTTCCCTAACTGATTAGTCATCATTGTAAGTCCAAATATATTCAGTAAATATTCCCTCGTTTCACATCCTAAGCACATCCTAAAGCCTACGTGTGTGTGTTATTATTTAGCTAGTCTGATTATAATAATAATAATAATAATAATAATAATAATAATAATAATAATAATAATAATAATAATAATAACATTAGCTGATCGATCGAATGCAAAGGGAGAACAGATTTATTGCATGGAGGATTTCATCATGAGCTGACATCAGTTAGAGAACCACTGGGAGTACCGGACAGCTGCTGTTTCGTCCTAGTTTGGGACTCTTCAGCAGTACGCACCCACCGGGATTCGAACCCAAGACCTTCTGGGTACAAGGCGAGCTCGTTCAGTACTCCCAGGGTTTTCCAGTGGTTCTCTAACTGATGTCAGCTCATGATGAAATCCCCCCCCCCCATGCAGTCAAACAAAATCCCAACGAAACCAATACATGTGAACATATTTATTCCTATACACACCAATGTTCGAACCCATTTATTGTCCTTACAAGAAAACCAGATGGTAGCATGAAAAAAAAATTTGCATAGAAAAAGTACTTGGACAGGACAATATACACATACACATTTTCACAGCTTCATTCCTATCAAGTACAAAAGAAATTTAGTGAGGACCCTCAGCCACAGGGTTAGTTAGAGCCAAATATGCTCAGAAGAAGAGTAATTGAAGATGAATTAAGCATTGTATATGATACTTTGATTGAAAATAGCTATCCCGAAAAAAAAATTATCAAGAAAATACATGACAAAGAAAGCGGAAAATGACTACTCACTATCTGTAAACAAGAAGTCACTTTATATACGACTGCAATTCAAGGGCGATATATCAAGTGAGATAATTACGAGGAAATTAAGAAAATCAGTTCAAAGAACTTTTAATGCTGCCGAACCACACGTCTTATTCCCTATACGACCGATGGTGCTACCTCGACTGAAAGATGAAGTACCTAGACTAGCCACTTCTGATGATATCTACCAATTCAACTGCTCTTTTGGTCTTGCTCTAGGAACTTGATTTTTCGTGCTCGAGAACATCTTCCACTATGACAAAGTAAAGGTGTAGTGAAAACCATCATTAACAGTTCTATATTGGACCATCTGGTGCAAACCGGCCGGCCACAAAGCCAGCGTGGAAGACTCCTTCTGGTGTGGTTGTGTTCTCTGAGCTCGATAGTTAATTTGCAAAGCTTTCATCACCCTACTAGGTGACATCTTCAACGCATACTTCAGTTTGAAGTGATCTGTTAGATTTCTCCAGGAGTTTATTAATCATCTCTCCCGGTGACCTTGGGCGTGATTGGTTGTTTTTGTGTTTTCACACCTTCTAGGCTACTTGTATTGTAACTCATTGTTTCTTTGACTTGAACTTTGACCCTTTGTGTGCAAAGTTTCTTTCTTATCGGTTGATAAATTTTGTCTATCTCGATGTGTCTATTGATTGATGATTCACTGGAATACCAGGCTTCTAAAAATTCTTTACCATTCTTGTTGTTTCCTCTGTCTAATATTTTAACGCTGTTTGTCGCATTCGAATTGATGCCTGTGGTTGTCTGTATGTAGTGATATGAGGGAGTGTATGTCATGTCTTTTGATGCCTAGCTTATGATCATGGATACGAAGACGAAGGGGACGTCCACTTTGGCCAGTGTAGTGTTTTTCGCAGTTGTTACAATTTATTTTGTAGAGGATGTTGGTTTCAGCGGTATTTCATTGGTAGAATGTTCTCCAGCCAACCACCTGCAATGTCCAGCTTCGATTCCCGACCGACGCACCTCTCTAAATCTTGCCTAGTCTGCAAACTAGAGAAGGTTGGGCTTGGAGGGCTG